CTTCACAAGAGACTGTACACTTTTAACCGTTTCATTATTAAACACAGGCGAAAATTCATGAGGGAGGTAGGGGAAGATGCGATCGAGAAGAAGAAGAAGAAGACATAGCATTTTTTAAAATTTGACTATTGCATAAATTTGATTTGATTTTATTTGACTCATAAATAGAGAGATAATTAGATAGTGTGTGTATGTGGGTGTATGTGTGTGTGTGTGTGTGTGTTTTTTTGTGTGTGTGTATGTGTGTGTATCTGTGATGTTCCTTACTTCCCCTCATCCAATTTTTAGTGTAAGACTGACAGACTGTCTATTTGTCTATTTGTCTGTCTGTCTGTCTGTCTGTCTGTCTGTCTGTCTGTCTGTCTATTTGTCTGTCTGTCTGTCTGTCTGTCTGTCTGTCTGTCTGTCCCTGTTTGTCTCTCTGTCTCTGCCTCTCCCTCCCTCTATTTGTCTCTCTCTCTCTCTCTCTCTCTCTCTCTCTCTCTCTCTCTCTCTCTCTCTCTCTCTCCCACCCCCAATACAAAGAGAAAGTATCTAAATGTAAAGTATTTTTGCCCAACCTCCAACCACTCAGTTCTGGTGAAGTGAGCTTTTCAATTCAAGTCTTTTATTATTCCTCAAGGTATGCCAACTTTTCTATTTAGACACCAACTACACATAGATCTTTTTGCTACAAAAGTGAACCACTAACCCTTCCCCCCTTCCATACTCTGTGTAATGCTAAAAATAAATCCCAAATGGGGAGAATATCTATGTGAGCATTTCGGTATGTCGGGTTGGTCGTAACATCAGATTCAAAGTTCGTCTCCTAAAATGATCTAAATTATGTCGATGGCGACGGGAAAATTACCCACAACCAAAAAAACAAAACCTCATGATCAATGTATTGTTAGTAAAATTGTAAAGAAGGGAAGTTGGGACAGAGAGAAGTAATAATAGAAAGCGAGAGAGAGAGAGAGAGAGAGAGAGAGAGAGAGAGAGAGAGAGAGAGAGAGAAAGAGAGAGAGAGAGATGTTTTGTAGTCTTTTCTTTTTCCTCGAGATATGTCAAATTTTCCATATAGAAACCAACAACACATCGATCAGTTTGCTATAAAGGTGAACCACAAACTATAAATCCCGAAGTCAATGGATTCGAGGACCAACGACTCTGGTGTAGCGGTTAAAGGGTCTTTGCAACTGCTCGCAGAAGACATTAGTTCGATAACCGAAAAGACAGACTGTTTATGAAACAATGCGTTCTGATGCGATATTGCATCCCGTCCTTATTATTTATTCTCCCCACTTTACTTTTATCAGACCCGGTGGCTGGTAAGCAAGACAATATTCGACAAGACTCTGTGTCAAAATATGAATTTCCACAAACTTGTCAAATTGAAAACATGCTAAGACACTACAGTATAACATGTGCTTTTTTCAGACTGTTATCCAAGATTTTACAAGAAAGTCTTGGTTTTTACTTTAGAAACGGGCAAATTTATTTAGACGAAGCTGGTCTCTATAGAAAGTTCCATCAATTCAGAACGGTCCCTTAATCAGTATTATTGTTATTATTATTATTATGTCCATGTGATACTTAGAAGCAGCTTTTGTCAGTCCTTCATGTTCCATGGATGGATTTTCGAATTCTTCGGGATCTCAGGCGTGGTTGCATACTTTTTGGAATTCTCTGATTTAATCAGATACGACGCATGGGCTACTTTGGTATATTCTATATCTACGCCATTTCTGTCAGATAGACCTTTCTGTAAAGTTTAGGTCAGTGACATTTAGGCGACTGATTCCATTGCCTTCTGTTTCTTCAGCATCTAGATGAGGCTGCTGTATTGTAGTAGCTTATCGGGATGACGTCTGTTGAGTTTATTAGCACTCATTGTCCGACATCTGCCGAGTACAGCGATTTCAACCCGAACATCGCCGCCATCATTGTAGTTTACCTGTGAATAAACGAATGAGAAATAATAAATTATGTGTAGCTTTCTCATCTAGATTTGGAAACGAAACAAATCAAATCTTGAAAGGCTAAAGAAGTACAACGCATTAGAATATCGATAGAATCTCCTTCTATCGCGTCGATCTTTGAGCACACACCTGAATCTACAGGTCTTAATCAAGGATATGAATATATTATAATATTTATGTATTTAATAAGAGAACTAAAAAAAGCGCACCATTTGCATCCAATGGGATGTACGTGTACTTTTAAAACAAAAGTCTCTAAGCAAAACAAAGTCTAAAGATAGAACTGAACATCCACTAGTGATGTCACTTCTACATTTATTTCAGACTTCCCTTTTCCCTCTCTTCCAAATTGTCCTTCAAAATCGTCTTCTACACTCATATCTGACCTACCACCTTAATGCACTCACAAGACACTGACATTTTATGACTATTTTGTGAGTACAGTGATAGTCATAACCTCAAATACTGTAATCCTAGGCTCCTTCGGACCTCCCCCCCCGCCCCCCGACACACATACACACACCCACCCCCCCACCCCCCAATAAAAAATGTAAAGTTTAATGCATGAATAAAATACACATTTTACAGAATAAATAACTAGATCAATAAATAAAACTCCAACGTATATCAAATCGAAAAAGACAACCTCGGAGGTAAAGATTTTCCTCACCACATCCCCTCCTTCAAGAACACGTTGCTGACGTGGGACAGACAGACAAGCAGAAAGAGTAGAAGATAGATAGATAGATAGATAGATAGATAGATAGATAGATAGATAGATAGATAGATAGATAGATAGATAGAGAGACATAGGCAGAGAGAGAGAGAGAGAGAGAGAGACATAGGCAGAGAGAGAGAGAGAGAGAGAGAGAGAGAGAGAGAGAGAGAGAGAG